ATATAAGATTTGTAATGGTATACTTGTTCAAAACAAATTGCACTTCTTCTCAAATTGACCCATAATTTTGTTTGGTTGTAGATCTTACATCAAAGCACCGGTCTATTGAAATTTAGTTTCTAGCTTTGGTCTTATTGATTTGATAGCATTTAGTTTGAAAAGTCATTATTCTTAACTTTAAAATTTTAATGGACATGGCATTGCGTGACTAATTAATAACAAGAATAAATACCTTTTAATATACTCGACAACACATATTTGACAACAAAAATTATGAAGACAGAACTAGAAAGTTAAAGACAAAATGGAGTGACAATCGTAGATTTTGAATCAACGTAATATCAAATATTCAAAATCTGTAGGTAGGATGATATGTTCTGTCTCGCCCTCCCTCTTATGTTTCCCGCTTCCTCTTCTTTCTTTTAATATAAGTTGCCTAGCAAGTAGCAACAACTCTGTAAAATTTTAAACCGATATTAAAATGATATTCATACAAAAAAAAAATCAAATAAAATCAAATGCACCATGTTTAAGGGAAATAGTTGAAGGTCGTCTAGCCTTATTGAAAGGAAAATAACTACATGTTAGTACACTTTATTCTGAAAATTAGTCAAAACAAGAGTCGAAAGACTTGGGGAGGACCATTTTGCTAGTAAACGAATGTTGGTTTAGCATCATGAGGTATTCCCAAAATCAAACATGATTATGGAAAAACAGATGATCATAAAACATTTATCTTTCGAACGAAACTAAGAAAAAGAGTTGAGGAAAGAAAGAGTAGCATGTGCGTTGTTGGTCCACAATTTGCCTATGAACACTTCACATGTCTCTCTCTTTCCCTCACCAAAACACAATTTCATGAGTTTCACATCATCTCTTTTCTTTTAAAAGATATATTTCTTTTTATATAAAGTTCGGTTCTCTTCATAGTTTATTAGTGATCAAACTAATTATGTTCAGTACTTCATGATGAGTTTTGATGTACTTACATGTGACTTTTACGCGTTATACTTTTAATGACATGATATAGAAAGGTGGGTTGATATATACACTTGAATTGAAGGATTATAGATGTTTCTGGACTTAGTAGTCTTAATCAATATGGTTGGGTTTTGGGTTGTTCTTTAATGACCAACCCTTAATTTGGATAGTATCAGATACTGCTTTCTAGTTCAATTTCTTAATCACTAGCACATGTTAACAACCTTCCTCATCCACTAAGAAAACAATGGATTAGTTTTGTATATTCTAAACAGAAATGGTTGAATTAGTTTATACACCCAAGGAGAAGAGGAAAATGGGTCAATGAAAAAAAAGTGCATAGAGAAGAGTAAAAGGCAGCGGTGGAGCTATGGAAGTAGTGATTAGCATCACTTGCCTATCTTAGTTCTAAGTTTAATTTGCCTTTTATCTTCTCTTTCTTAGATGCTATGGAATCTCACTGAGCCCCTACCTATAAGATCACATCTTCAATCATTTAAACACACATGCATTTAGCTTAAAAGTCATGAAGTGAACATATAAATTAGCACTCAGAAATACGACACCCGAGTGATTTTACTCACTTCGATCTATAGTGAATTTGATGTCACATACATCGCTTCAATA